GGGATTGTGCATTTAATGCACTAGATTTGAATCGAATAAGGATGAAGAAGAAGGAAAAAGAAGACAAACACAGAAACGGGAAGAAAAGAAAGAGAAGAAGAAAAAAAAATCAAATAAATAATAATAATAATAATAATAATAATAATAATAATGGTGTTTACAAGTAATCGATCATGATTTTTTTTTCTGATCATATTCAAACTTTAATTTTCTATTATGAAGACAAAGTGCATGAATGTGAATAGATACAAACCAACTTAATTAAACCTCAAAACTCGATCTCCCAAGTCCCAACCCTATAATTTTCCATTTTTTTCTTTTCTTTGCTAAAAGTACACTATCTATATAGTTAAACATATAGCTGTTATCAGAAACAATCAATTTATTTATCTTAAGGGTAAGTTAAGGGCAATTATAGCTAGTATAATCAACTAGAAAAAAGTTCTGGCAAGAGAGAAATTTTAACTCTACAAGAAATTACCTTCAAATTGAAAGACGATATTAAGCTCAAGATTTCTCCAAATTTGGGGCAATCGATCAAGCTGCAACCAGTAGCTCCTTTGCTTGCCTCCGCTGTTTATTTCTAGTAGTTTATTATTTAACCCTTAAATTATTTAAAGAAACTTCATTGCCAAGAAATAGATAAAACCCTAACTATAGGATTTCAAAAATTATCACATGTACGTAAGAGTGAGAATTGAATCCCTAATGGGTTGGTCCCAATTATTCAAAAAATTACTGTGAAACTTAAAATTTATTCATAATAACTCACTCTTATTTTATTTGATTTGCTCATATTTGTAAAGGTAGATATATATTTTACAACGTCAAAAGTTGTGTGATATGTTACTATAGTACTGGATTTTTAATTTTAATGATCAAAATTTAATTCTAACAATCTCAAAAATAAAAAGAAAATATGTGTATTTCACAACTAGTCAAATTAACATGTCTTTGTGTTGTTATTTTTGTTAGTTTGCTCAAATGAAATTTGTTGTATTTGTCTTTGTGAGGTAAGATTTTTCATTACAAGATAATAAGTTTTTAGTGACTTTTTTTTTTTTAATATTTAGCGACGTTTACAAAAGTTGTTAAGTGATTCATGGTGTTTGTTAAAAATGTTGCTAAAAGCATCGCCTATACCTACATAAGGGAAGATAGCAGTGTTTTAAAAAAAATACCATTAACTTAGTGTCATTTTTTCATAAAAACGCTACCAAATTTAATGATGTTTTTGGACACCAATGCCATTATTTTTTGTAATTTAATGACGTTTATCTACAAAAACGTCATTAAATTTAGTAGCATTTTTGGGCATAAACGAGGCTAATTTTTGTAATTTAGTAACATTTTTCATAACAAATGCTACTAAATTAAGAAATTTACCTTTTATTTTTCAAATATTTATTATTATAATTAAATAAAAAATATTAAAAGAAATAAAAATAAATTTAAATTCATAAACTAAATATTTTAAATATTTAAACATTTAAATACATAATTTGTTCTAAATACATTTAATACAATAACATTTAAATTGTTTCAATACATTAACCAAAAATTTAAATATATGAAATTGATGATTTTTTAGATAAAGGCAAATAGCTTCACCAAGTACACCGGTCTTGATCAGAAGTCAATTGTCCCATAAATTTAGATCCGATTTCCCCGATAATGCATCGAGATTACTCTGCGGCCTAAGCTTCCTCTCATACTTTTCCTTTAGACATAAATATGCCAGTCAACTACTTTCTTCAATGTCTTTGACACAGCTTATGATTACTCCTTATAAAAAGCATTTTTGAAAAAGAAAGGATGGCTCTATTAATTTATAAACAGAGTTAGCTGGTAATGATATGACTTATGAGCCATGGAAGAAACTTCCCTTTGAAGAGAAGATAGGTTATAAGAGTCTCTGTCCAAAGCTATGTATGTCGAATGTATTTAAATTCTCCAAGGTGGAGCAACCCCACTAACAACATATTTTTAAGAAAATTCAAAGCAATAAATTATAAAAGAACAATAGCTCCAATTGCTTTGACTTCCCTTAAAATTCACAGCATTCTACCATTGACAACCACCAAGTAGTCCCCATTATTGTTTTGTGTAAGGCTAAAAGCACAAGAAAAGAACATTAAGAAAACATTCAAGTCCAATCAAAATGATTAATTTCTGAGATATGAAAGTCAAATATGAAAGAAAGATGAAAATTTGCATCAGAAAAAAGAAAAAAACAAAAATAAAAATAAAAACCATTTTTTTTTATCTTTTATCAGAGTAGGGATCAAAGAAAGCAACCTAAAACAACTTCAAGGATCATTGGACTAACCTTTAACACTCAGGTACTCCAAAATTTATCCCTTTTTTCCAACAAGCATCCCACTGTAGCTTAATCCTCAAACTTCTATTTTCTCTTTCTATTTTAATTCCAACCCAGATAATGCTTCTAAGAATCAGCAACAAACAACAACTTTCAAAAAGAAAAAAAAATTATTTTTTAACTCTAAATTGGAAACTTGCAATGTAATGATACTTTCAAAAACAACAGTCAGATTTAAAATACCTAGAACCCATTTTTTGTTTATTAATGAAGGGCTTTAGATTATGAAGACAAACACTAGCTCAAGTTTGAAAATCCAAAAAAAAAAAAATGAAAGACTCATTTTTTTAATGTATTTGAGCTTTTAACAACATGGCATAGAGGGAGAAAACAACCTGGATAGCAACATGGCAGGAGCATTGAAGGTCTCAAACATGATTTGGGTCATTTTCTCGAGCTTGGCTTTTAGGTTGATAGGTGCCTTAGCTTAAGAATGGCTGCAGATGAACAGCAGTAGATGAATGACAAATTGAAAAAAGAAATGCTTGGGTATGTAAAGAAGTAAAAAAGCTTGGGAAAGGAAAGCAAATTGGACACAAGTTCAAATTTTATGGGAAAATTAGCAGCATTTTCTTAGAAAACGCCACTAATTTCTTCCTTGAATAATCCTCTTAAGTTTTAATGAAGAGATTATTGAATATATTTTTGACCAAAATTACTTTTAATAATCCCTCCATTTTTTATAAAGGAATTATTGAAGGCGTTTCAGGCCAAAAATGCCTTCAATAATTCCCTATATTTTTTATGATGAGATTATTGAAAGCGTTTTCTACCAAAAAAGCCTTTAATAATCTCCTTCATTTCTAATAAAGGGATTATTCAAGACATTTTAACCTAAAAAATTCTTTGAATAATCCCTTATAAAAAATTGAATGGGGTTATTTAAGATGTTTGTAGCTAAAAACGCTTTGAACAATCCCTTTGAATTTTTTATAGAGGATTATTGAAGGCGTTTTTGGGTTATTGAAAGTATTTTTAGCCAAAAACGTCTTGAATAATCCCTTTCAATTTTTTATAAGAGATTATTGAAGGTGTTTTTGGTTTAAAACTACCTTCAATAATCCCCTCTATTTTTTATAAGGAGATTATTAAAGGTAATTTTTTTATCAAAAACGCCTTCAATAATCTTTTTCATTTTTAATGAGGGGATTATTCAAGAGTTTTTAGCCAAAAAAATGCCTTGAATAATTTTTTACAAAAAATTGAATGGGATTTCTTGTAGTGTTTGAACAAAATTATTCAATTCACACCTCTTAGATTCTCGTTTTAGTTTTTAATTGGTTTTTTTTCTACATGCATTAGATAGAGTTCCTTGCACGGTGCTCTTACGTTTATTCACCATCTTTTAACTTGACCATTACTTCAGATTCGATGGGAATGAGATAGGAAACTGAGCTTTGGGCTCATTTGAATACTAATTTACATTCAAAATTAGTATGTAAAATAGTTTTTATCCAACTTTCGTAATGACATTTAAGAGTTTTATTTAGTTTTATCTCTAAATTGATAGTATCAGACGCAAGCGATTTGCCCTTGTTTGCCCATACCTCCATGATTAGATTTGTCTTTCTTTATACTGTGATATCCCAAGCCACCACTAGGGTCGGAGCCAGAGGGTTAAAAGAGGCCATGACCTCTTACCTTTTGAAAATTAATACCATACATGTAGTATTTGTTAGAATTTTTTGTAAATAGACTACTATTAATTAATGATTTTAATTTAATAAAATCAATTGATAGATTTAGTCATAATACAAGAAAAGCATGAGAGCTCAATTAATTTAATATGATTATCTAAGTATGAGTTTTACACATCTTACTAGTTGGTGTCATATAGCAATTGTGTAGGCATTTAACTCGGTAAACTTTTAATAAGAAAATTACTAAGGTTATTTAATTAATAAAGTTAAAGTCTCCTCTTCACTTTTCATATACAGTAATTACCCATTGATAAACTATTAACGAGAGAAAAACAAAGAGAAAGACTATAGTCACTTCAAGAATTATTTTGCTTTCACGAATTCTTGATGATTACCCAAATAGATATTCTTGATCTCTCCAATTAATGTATGGTATTCTAATTTTCACACAATAATTTTTAGTTAGTGCTCACAGTATTAGTTTGTATTCAAGAAAATTACTTGTTTAAAGTCTTTTTTTACCCCTTTTGACTTTTCCTTCCAAGTTTTATATAAGTTTTTAGACCTTTAAATTTCGACAGTGTATTTTTTTTTTTCATTTTACCTTTGAATTTTAACCATTTTAACAATAGTCCATTGAATTGGATAAAACCCAATAACAAATAAATAACTCTAGAAAATTTTAGATATTTTAAACAAAAAATAAGATTATAAAAGAATTAATTAAGTAAAGAATCAGTTTAAATTTTTAATTAAGGCAATGAATAATAACATAAATTATTAACTGGTACCATTCTTGGACATGCATTATGAAGATACTAATATATTCCCTATATTTAATCATAGTCTCAAACTTAATTTTGAGAGGTAGCTTAAAAATATATATTCAATTAGATAACCAATTATATTTAATAAAAATATATTAGTGAAAACTTTTGTATGTCTAACCGACAAATCTCAAACTTACACATTATCACAATCGTACTTCATAGGGGGTGGTACATTCGGCATTAAAACCAACAAGAGGCCATTGGTTAAAAGATTTGAATCTAAAACCATTTATATCAAAGAAACCAACTTACCAGTACAACCAAATTTATTATTAATGACATAGTGATACATCGTCTCCGGCAACGCTTCTCCACCTTATAAAAAATCTCAGCATAGTAGAAATCTTTGGATGAGTAAGTACAATCACCAAGTTTGTTAAACATTTTGGCAACTGCTTCATCATCGCCTAAGCAATTATCAAAAATTCCTTTGTGACGGAGTAACTTCACATCCTTGCCTGAGTTGATGAGGTTATGCATGAACACCACATAATCACAAACGTAAGTTGGTTCAGAACTTGGGATGAATTGTTCGTAGGCAATGAAATTACGCAAGAGACGGTCTGTACAATGTTCAATGCTTAACTTTGGAATCTTCAGTTTCTTATTTTTAAATTTTATCTCGAACAAGCTATGTAGATTTTTCTCATTATTTTCCGAGAAACTGATTCCTGCCGCTTTCAGCTCCGTTGCACAGCGCATGTTCTTCCTTAGACGTCGGTCTTTTTCTTCCCGCTTTCTTGCGCAGCATATCCAAAAGCATCGGTCTGCTTTTGCTTTAAAATCCTTGTGTTGCTTTATTCCTTGAGATGAAGGAAGCCAATTATCATGTACTAAGCTCAGTAGATGCTTGGTATCTTTCGCAGAAATGGGACACTTTTTATCAGGACATATCTTTGGTCCTGGTATCACTTTTGAAAGGCCAGAAAGAGCCAATTCAGTAAACTTATCTCTTTCAACATTTGACTTGTTGATCATACCATACAACTCGGAAAGCACAAAGAAAGGAAGCTGATTTTCGAGTAGCAACAAATCATAATTTACCTCAGTTAGAAACCCGTTCAGGTTGAAAGGGTACTCACTTGGATAATTACCATTATCTTGAAAGTCAAATAGCTGAACAATAAAGCATCCATCAAGGATCATCATTTTCACAAATGTGCCAGAATCAATGTGATCTAAAGGTTCTTCATAGCACTCACGAACTTGCTTTTCTATTGATTTCATGGTCTCTACAAAATCTTTGGGCTCAAGATTCTTATCCTTAATCATTCTACTGAACAAACGCCTTTTGATAACTTCAGTTGCCTGCAAGTGTTGCTTACCATGGTGATAGGGACCGATTGAAATCACATTGGGTTCATAGGCTTTTTCATTTACTTGATGTAGTCTATGAGGCACTTTGTAAAGAGTAGTCCAAAGATTTGCGTCGGAGGACGGCTCAAAAAGTTGACGGAGATCCACCTCTAAACTTGTCGTTTGGGTTTCATGAAAAATATTACCTATTTCACTTGCAATCTCCTGTGTTCAAAGGGGCGTGAGATACTTTGTTAATAAATTTAAATAATAAAATATTATTTGCACATTTGACACACCTGTAACCGACTTTTTTATCATGCCTAAATTAACAAGCATAAGATGTACATGTGGAGTGTGCAAATAATATTATCCTTTAAATAATTACAATAAATTTGCATTGTGCGCGCACATGCTATGAAAGAAATATTTTTTATTTAATTAATGAAACACATTTTGTTTTGAACCTCATTATTTCTCGTACATGTTAAAATTTATGAACGGTACAATAAACTTAATATTTTAGTTTTAAGCCTCATTAGTACGTATTAATATTGCGCTTTACAGTAGTTTGAATTTTTCATGTTGTTGACTATTTGAGCTATTGAGAATAAATATTGATTTGCAATAGGAAGCTTCAGTTTTTTATAGTTGATTCGCAGTGATAATAGCAAGAAAGAACACCTACTTTCTTTCAAATTTTGTCTTTTATAAGTGGACTTCCAAATTATTGGCTATAAAATAGGCAAAGAGTTTAAGTAACTAGTTCAATTTTATGTCAACCTAAGTGATTTTGATTTTACCATACACTTTTATGTTTTTGAATAAATGTTTTTAGGTAATTATTTTCATCAATATTAATTAGCATTTTGCTGCTTTCAATATAATTTTAATAATTATTTATTGTATTTTTAACAATTATTATATTTTTAATAATTAATAGTAAAAAATTATTTATTGGATTTTTAATAATTAATTTGTATATTTGGCCAAAAAATAATTAATTTTATTAATTAATTATGATTAATTTTATTTTTGTTAACTAATTATGATTAATATTAATTTTTATTAATTATATTAAAAATGTTTCAAATTTATTTCAAATATATTCTTTAAAAACTAATCAAATATATTACTAAAAAATTCTATTATATCTTGTTTTAATGAATCAAACATCATAACAGTTATTTTATTTTATTTCTATTGCAAAATACTTATTTCATTTTCCTCTATTTTATTTCGGGAACCACACGTGCATAGGCGGACAATAAGAGTGGTTTGAGGCCCCCTCAAAATTTTTAAATTCTTCTAATATCTATCTTATGATAAAATTAAATGGCCCTCTCAAACTAAAATCATTAATTTTATTTATTTGTATGTGATTTCATAATTTAGTTTTATTCATTAAAATTAAGATGTATTAAAATCACATTATTTATTTATTTATCAACAAATCATTATCTATAAATTTTTAAAATTAAGAAATTTGTGATAAGGGTTAAACTATAGTAAAACAAATTTAACAAAAACTAAATTAACTTTATAGTTTCTCAAATAAGATTAAAGGTCTCCAATCAAGTATTAAACATAATTTTTCTATGCTTTTTAATTGATTACAATTCCATTTTTCATATAATTATTCACTTTTAACTCTATCTTAGATTTTTTTTTTTATTTGTAAGGTTAAAAAATTCCTAACTTCTAATCTGAAAATTTCAAACTTTATTCTTTTAATTATATATATTTTTGTTTTGATAAAAAAAATATTGTTCAACAATTAATTACTTATACTTTTTAAAAAGAAAATCACTCACAATTGGAAGAACGATTCACAATTTTAAATAAAGTCATTTATTTAATGTGTTATATCTTTTTATATATTAATTTATAATTTGGAAAACAAGTATATTTTGTTAATATATTACTTGCATGTATATATATTAATAATATAATAAAATGTATTCTATGAAAAAATTTTAAATTTAATATATATTAATTTACTCCCTCGAAATCGATTATTAACATCCGACACTGCATACATGAAGCTAATTTGGGTGAGCGTAATGAAAGTTATTTGTGGTTCGTATACAGCAGGGCATTTCAATTACCTTGCTGGGAAATGGATTACGCCGAGCCGAACAAGGCACTTGCCTAACCGTTGGAGCCGAACCTCCCTTTGGAGTTTTCTTGTTGTCTATTGTAATGCTGAAGTCAACGTCTGTAGCCATTACCTGCACAAAAACATAGGATACACATTACATTATTATATAAATTAATTGAAAAGAAATATAAGGTTTTTAGGCGATATTTAATATATAAAATTACAATATAATATAATAAAATAATATTATAAATATTATTTAATTAAATAATATTATCTTATTTTATATTTGATAAATGTAAAAATTAAAATAAAATAATTAATTTTTAATCAAAATTATTTTTTAACATTTATATAATTAAAATTATTAATTTAATTTTTAAAAATATAATAAAAATAAATTTAATCTCATAAATTAAAATTAATTATTTTTATTTTTAAAAAATTAAATTATTTTATACTAAAAAATATTATTTTCATTATAATTTTATTTTTTAAAATATAAATTAAATATAATTTAAAATAATCATTATCTTGCCTTATCTATTATCTTATAAATTACATGTAACGTTAAAATTTTTACCAACCCTAAAGATTTTTACCAGCCAAAGTGGAAAGCAGAATCGTTACTGCAAAGCTGTGCTCGTGAAATTTGGTGTTGTGTGATCACCTATAGATACCAGAGTGGACGACCCATACCCAGGCTATGTATAACGACATATGAATGACTGACATCAGATATATTACTTCACATCTTCAATAATTAAAACCTTTTATTGTCTGGTGCTTAGTATTTGCTGCTTTCTATTAAAATTTTGGCATTTAAAAACCTGGCCACCCAAGTCCCCGCCTCCGTTGCTTGAGTGGTAAGGAGCCCCAAACGGACATCAGGGCTCGGCTTCGAACCACCCCTCCCCGTCACTCCAAAAAAAAAAAAAAAGAACGGAACATTTGTCTTGTATACAATAAAAAATTAAAAAATAATTTATACTTATATATTTGAAAATGAATTATATTCGTATAAAATTAATTAAGCTTTGCGTCCTTCTGCACGAGGATAAAGTAAAAACAAAAATGTAGGGAGCATCGAGATAGAATATATGTATATGTTGTATATTATTTAAGAAAATATTTTTAAGCATATTAATATAAAATAAAGTTTTAAATTTACGTAATATGTAATTGTGTTTAAAAAATAAAGTTTGAAATATTTTATACATTGACATATTTTAATTTCACAAATAAAATTAAAATAATGACATTTTTTTATATATTTAAGAAATTTATTTAAAAAACAAATAAAACATATATCATTAAATTAATCTCGTTTGTAAAATTAAAATACTTAACTGTATCAAATAATTTTTTCAAATTTAATGAATTTCATTTTTTTCACCTAAATTTATCACAAACCAAGTAGGGTCAAAGCCACTAAAATACTACAAATATTCTTAAATTATTTTAAATTTTAAATAAAACTTATACTTTTATTACATTCAAATAACTTTTTACAATTGGAATTTTACCCAAATAAACCTTGCTTCACTTAATTTATACGATGCAGAGCAAAATGAAGGTTACTTATGGTTCATATACAGCATGGCCTTTCAATTACCTGTTCGAAAGATGGTCTACTCATACTCGAACTCATAATTGAATGCTCCAGCACAGGCGGCGGCGACATTTCAGTTTCATCTAAGTCGTCGTCTACTGTAATGCTGTCGTTATCTGTAGCCATTCATTACCTGCACAAAAACATGGGATATGCAATACATTATAATGAATTAATTGAAGAGAAAGATAATAATACCTCTTGAAGAATGAATTGTAATTTGTTTACTAAGAAAAGAATGAATGGTAATTTTGTTTAAGATTTACCAGCCAAAGTGGAAAGCAGAATCGAGGCTGTGCTTGTGAAATTTGGTGTTGAGTGATGTACCTCATCACCTATAAATACTAGAGTGGGTGACCCATACCCAGGCTATGCAAAACGACATATGAATGAATGACATCAGATATATTAGTTCACATTTTCAATAATTAAAACCTTTTATTGTCGGTGCTGGTATTCGCAGTTTTCAATCAAATTTTCACATTTAAAAACATAGCTACTAAAAAGCAAATAAAATTTGGATTATGACATAACAACTACCTTTCACATTTATCGCATTCTTCAGAGTCACGGATTTAAGCATTATTTTTATTAAGTAATTATTTAATTTTTTTAAGTGATGAGATTGTCAATATTTTAATTTTGTTTTTAAAAAAAGTCAAGATCCGAACAACCGAACATTTGTTTTCTTATGTTTTAAGGCCGCAGAAGTACAAAGGTTGCATGCGCGGAGTTGTCGGAGGAATGTTAATTTAATTCATATTTAATGATTTTTTTAATTTTTTATTTGAATAAAAATAAATACAAAAATAGATATTATATCATAAGGTAAAAAAAGTTATATGATTCTTTTATAAATATGAAATATAACAGGTAATATAACATGATATATCTAACCTTACATATATATTTAATATACTAATAATAGATTTTTTATTAAATAACAAAAAAATTAATGTCTAAATTAACTAAAATTAATAATTTTATAGTTTAATTATATATAATATATATATTATCAATTACGTAATATATTTATAATTAAAAAAATATTTAATTTTATTTAATCTTTAAAATTCTTATAATTATTTAACTCGTAATGATATAATAAAAATAAATTAAAAACTTTGGTATGTATATAAATTAATTATTTAAAAATTCAATAATGTAAAAAAAAGAATGTTTCACGCACCTTATATTTTACCCATTAATATCCTTACCCTGCTACATATATACTAGAATTCACCTTTCCGCATAGTTAATTAATTTTAATTTATTTATTAAGTAATTTTGGTTAAACTACTAGAGTTTGTGTATTAGATGAATGTTAAATTGTCATTGTCAGCTGTTCTTATTGCAATGTAAGTGCCATTTTTTTTTGGATTAAAAGTATATATTTTAAATTAAATGTTTTTTGAAAACATTTAAACAATATTCAAAGAAAAAAAAATACAACAATTAGAAGTTTTTGTTAAATATATAAGTTATAGATGATAAATATATTTTTTACTTCTTTATTTTCTTTATTTTGTTTTTATTTTATATCGATATGATTATTGAGAATTAATTTAATAATTTGGGTTTCAATCTTTGATAACTTGAAGAATTAGAAAATTAATTGATATTTTAAAAGTAATACCTAGAATCTTCCGAATACTTTTGATAAGTTTTTTTAGTAATTATGTGCTTTTTTTTTTCATTTTATCTATCAAAATATCTTCAATAATTAATTATATATATATATATTGTTGTAACGATTTTGAGACCGTCAGACGTAAATGGTGTTTTAAAATCGAAGTAAAATAAAATGGAGTCGCCACCAATCTTTGTTAGGGTGTGATTGGCCACCCAAAAGCTTATCCTTTTAATGAAACTATAAAAATGGGTTTAAAATTCATTGAAAAGATAAATTTTGGTCTACGTAAAATCAGGTTGGGTCCGGGAGTCGGTTACGCGTGGGGAAGGATTAGCACCCCACAACGCCCATAAATTGGTACTATTTAATTACGCGCTATTTTCGGTGTTGGATAAAAACTATTTTAATTTGAAATTTAACATTAATTCCCTTCATTTAAAAAAATAAAATTTTGTTAAAATATTTATTTAGAACTATTGAGAAAATCTTTAAGTTAAAGAATTATTTTAAAATTCTCCATCATCTAGGCAGAATTTAAAATAACTCTTTTCGCCTGAGATTTAACACAATAATCCTTAAAATGAAATAACAATCTTTATAGAAAATAATTGTTAGTGACTCTCCAACTTCTAGGCAGAGTACCAAGAATTATTTCTTTCGGAATGTTATTTTTAATTTATTTTATAATATCACAAAAAGTTTTTTTTTTTAGTATTATTCCCTTTTTTTTACTATAAATATTTTATCATCGAACAGCGAATTAAAGAGAGAATAATGCAATCAATTATCGATGATAACATGCTAACGTATGTATATTAATGAATGTCATTTACAATGAAATGCAATTTAAGAGTTAGATTCTTAAGTACAATGAGACCACCCCGACTCTCCAACATCTAGGTAGAGCTTAGGTGCGACTGTTTATATTTAAGAACCCAATTTTATTATACTTTTTATTTATTAATTTTATTATTAATGTGAATTAAGAACTCAGTGTGAAAAAACTTAATGAAATGGAATTTCCTAAATACCCCATCATTTAGGCAGCATTCGGGAACAAACCATCTCATGCAAGACTTCCACACGTGTCCTTAAAGTTTTGAAATAAATTAAGGGTAAAATTTTAGGGTTTAAGTTTAGGGTTTGGGGTTTAATTAAAACGCGAACATCTCTAAAAATCTCCATCATCTAGACGGACTTTCAGAGCAAGTTTAAAAATTTTTTATAACTTTGGAAAACTAGTTAAAATTTTCTTATATATATATATATTTTTATGAAAATTTAAATAATAATTCCCCAACATCTAGGCGAAATTGTTTGTTTGAAGATATATATATATATATTTATTCCCTCCAACATCTAGGCAGGGAAAATAAAAGGTTTATTTCATTATTATTACTATTTAAACATTTTTAAAATATATTATTTTCATTTTATTATTATTAATAACAATTAAATATTTATCCTGACAAATTTAAACATTTATGCATAAATAATACTTAAAATAACAAAAATATATTATATAAAAAAATAAAAAATTCGAAAAAGAAAAATAAAATAAAATTTACCTGAACCGGACCGGTCAACGGTCCGGTCAACGGCGGTTCGGCAGTTCGGTTCGGTCTGGGAGCGGTCTGGTTGGTTCGGCGGTTCAGGCCGCTCCAGATAGCGGTTCGGTTCGGTCTGATCAAACCGATCTAGAGCCGTTGAGAAGTCGGGTTAGCGGGTCGGTTGCGCGGACCCCGGGTCGGGTTCGGGTCAACGCGCGGATCCTCTTTGGTTTAAACGACGTCGTTTTGGGGCGTTTGTTGAAACGACGTCGTTTTGGCTATTGACAGTTTATATAAAAGTTAAAATTTTTTTTTTCTCATTCCTTTCACTTTTCAGAAAAAAAAACCCTTTTCTCTCTCGTTTTTTTTTCTTTTCGGCCAAACGCAGATGGTCGGCTGGCCGTTCTGCCGCTGCTGCTGCCGCCGTCGTCGGTCACCGGCCGCCGTTGACGGTGGTTAGAAAATTCCCAAAAAATACCAAAACGTTCCCTTCGACCTCCTGAGTTCAGATCTGGGGTCCCTTTCACCAAAAAACGTCCCCACTTCCCTAGGTCTGCTAGAGAAGTTTCGGTCAGATGCTTTTTCTTTTGTATTCTGGCTTTATTTTTTTTTTTAACTGACTTTGATTTTTTCTTTGTGCAAGGGCTCTCGGCACTGGGTTTCTCCCTACGGGGAGGATTGTTTGATTTTTTTTTTTTTTGTGATTTTTTTTTGTTTTTGACAGAATCTCTCCCTCTTTTCTTCTCTCTTTTCTTGGCTTCGCCAGGAGCTCTATTTATAGAGCTCCAGCCATACATGTTTGGAGGGAAGGGCATGGGGCTCGGTCACGGGATGTAAACACGAGTCCCGTGCCTCTTTTATTCATTTCTGTCTTATCTGACGTTTGTCAACGGAAGGAGTAATTAGAGATGGAGGGTAGGGTTTGATGGCAGTGGCGCCGGGGACGGCACCACTGCCATCCTTAATTTTTTTGTCTTCTGTTCTCTTTTTTTTTCTGGTATTTTTTTTTTGTATTTTTATTTTGTATTTTGTACTTTTTTTTTTTGGTATTTCATATTTTGTAATATTATTGTTTTTATTTAATATTTTGGGACGAAATTGATGTCTACATATATATATATATATATATTGAACAAGTACCATTCATATTAAGTGTCCAAAATACTATTATAGGATTCTTTTCATATATTGTTACAGATAGGCCATATGATCACCCAAAAGTATTTAATGCAAGGTCCACGTAATCAACAAGTCTACTAAATGTTAAAATCTATATTTAATGCATGATCCATGTAAGATCGCATCAAAATGAAAACGTAATTTAATTATTTTTAGGTCCAAATTATTTAGATTCGGAATCCCAACTTCAGATATGTTATTTATAGGTCATAAGGCTACCCAAGAATCTGTCCCAAAGGGTAAATGCAAACGTCTTTCACATGCACTTGCTGATACATTTAATGCATTATCAATTTATAATTCATATGCTTGGGTAAAATGTAACAAAAAAATCAAATTTAAATTGACCTTGCTCTCTATTCTCTATTTTTCATTTGTTAAAAAAACCCTCCATCGACGGGTTTCGATCCGATCCGATCTTATAAGATTAATTTTTTTTGTAAATTAAATTTTGGGTCAGGTTGAATCGAGTAATATTAAGAAAAAATCGAGATTGAGTTGAGTTCGGGTTTTAGACAAACCTAACCCGATATTATATAAAAATATTTTTTTAATTAATTAATTAATTATATATTTATATAATAATATATTTAAATATTTATATTTTTTAAAAATATTTTATATTTTAAAAAATAATATTTTATTAATTCAGGTCGAATACTATTTATATAATATCAAGTTCGAGTATTAAAAAAATTTTAAAAAAATTTCGGATCGAATTCAGATTTAATGAACATAAAATCGGGTTGGGTTTAAGGCGAGCAAAATCTCATTCCGACTTGGCCCATTGCCAAAATGCCTATCAAAGTATTTTCATTTAATGATGAAAAAACCCCGTTAGTTTCATTTTATTATAATTTTTACTACCATTGTAAAAAAATTGCAAAACGTAATTTGTAGTCAATGGATTCGGAATTAATTCCAAAACTATAATTTTTTTTTTTTAAGCAGGAGTAGGTGAGGCAGTGTTTTTTTTTTTTTTTTTTTTAAGTAGGGAAAGGGTAGTTCTATAATTTTTAAGAGGAATTATTTTAACCATTTTTTTATATCAATTACAAGATAATTTGAAGTTCAAGCATGCCACGACTGAGAACAATTCAAAGCAATTATTAGCTGCCCCTTCATGAATAGGCAATTGTTGTTTGTTCAGTTCTTTTAAACTTTATCGCGTTCCTCGGTAAAAGTGGGTAGAAAAGAAAATGAAAAATTGATAACTACAAAGTTGAAAATTGAAAAGAAAAGAAAATTTTATTTTGGTTAAAAAATAAAAAATACTATTAAATTATAATTTAATAATTATTTAAATTTTTAATATTGTATTACAATCAATCAAGTTCATAACATTTTATTTCGATTTAATTGAATCTTTAAATGAATGAAATCTAATCACATGACAAAATCAATTAATTCTCAAACTATAATCAATTAAATCTTTAAAGAATCTTAGAGAAAAACAAACAGAGAAAATAAAGAAGAAAAAAAAATTTTATTTAATTTTTATATATATTAATTACGTCACTTGATAAATTTTCATATATTTTATTAATACTATATAGAATTTTATCTTAGTTGATTAAAAAATTAACGGTATTAACTATTTCATCTAAATAAAATTTTAATTAGATTCAAATAAATATCGAAAGGATTAATTAATTGTAATAAAAAAAATAAAAACTTAGATGATTTTTTAATTATAATTTAGAAACTTTTTATACCCTTTGGACTTTTAATTTTATCTATTGTTTGGTAAAGTTCAAAAAATAAAAAAAATAAAAAATATATTATTTACCATTATATAATTTGTAATTTGAGATAAACAAAATTTTTTAAAAAAAATACTGATATTATGCACAATTACTCACATCTTTATATTTTTTTCTTTTATCATTTTAATTTGGAATGATTGATTTATGGGAACAAAAATAAAAAATTATATTTTTTTCTTTTTTCCTATTTTCTCACTTTTTTCTCCTGCCAACTATACACCCTATCCATTATTTTATTTTCATTTCATTTTTCTTTCCACCCTATCAGTTATTCTACTTTTTCACCCTTTTAATATTGTAACCACATGGTGTTAAAGGTGTCCATGAGCTGAGTTAAATCAGATTAGGCTCAATTGACTTTTCAAAATTATTTCTAAAACTCATTTTGTCCCAAAAGGCTCAAATTTTTCTAAAAAAGATATTAAAATAATTAATATATATAATTTTAATATTTTTAAATATATTTAAAAATTAAGTTAAAGTACTATTTAAATATTTTAAAATTAATATATTTTAATAAGATATTAAAATATTAAGATTAATTATTGTAAAATATATTATTTGCCACTCAACTATGATTGTGCTTTTTAAATATTCGCTTAACTTTTAATTTTTTTATTTAGTTATTTAAGTTTGAGCAAGTATTTTTTGTCAATCAATCATTAGTCTCTAATGACGTACTAACTAGTAATTCCACATTAGCTATCAAGTGCTACATGATACTTTCATATAATTTGGTAGGCATGTGGCATTGCTATCGTAACATTATAAGTTTTGAAAAAAATTTGGTAGTTTAAACATAAATATGAATTACATTTTGGTTGTAGACACCATATTATTATTATTATTATTATTTATTTTTCCTTTTTTTTCTTTTTTTGGCAGCGACTTTAACAGCCACTTATAGTTGCACTGCCAGTAGCCCTGACAACCATCGACAGCTCTTCTGACAGCCGATGGCTGCTCTAATCGTAGGCGATCAAAATCTTTGATTTTTTGAGATTTTGATCTTCCTTTTGCTCTATACATAGAGCTGCAAAAACACCATAAAAAAGGAGGGGACCCTGCCCAAAAAAAAAAGTTTCCAAAATAAAAAAAAAAATTTCTTTTTACCCCAGAAAAAGAAAAAAAACCAAAATAAAAAAGCATAGTCCTCCCTGTAAAGAGGAACCATCAGCGCCAAGCCCTTACAATAAAAAACCAAAGTCAGTTTCGATTTATAAAAAAAAAAAAAAGAGAGAAGGGAGACCAAAACTTTAAGCCCTAATCGACATCCCGGTGAAAAGGAGACTAGATCCAAAAAACGCGTGTCGAGGAAAATGTTTTGGCATTTTGTGAGATTTTCGACAACCGATCGACAACCGATCGAGGACCACTGACGGTGGCCGGTACGATGGACATGACCGATCAACGGATCTAGAGAGAGAGGGGGAGAAGAGAAAATGAAAGAAAATTTTTTTTTTCACTTTTATAGAAAACTAAAAGTCAAAACAACGCCGTTTCATTAAAAGAACAAAACGATGTTGTTTTAAGCCGAGGATCTGTGTGTCAACCCGTCGACCTGACCCAAGGTCCTCGCAATCGACCTAACAACCCGACTCATCCTTTGACCCTTGACCGGTCCAAATGAACCAGTTTAGATCAGGATCGAACCATGGGAACCGTCCAGATCAAGATCGAACCATGAGAACCACCCAGACCAAACCGAATTGCTGAATCTTGTGTTGACCAGACTATTGACCAGTCTGGTTCAAGTAAAAAATTTTTTTTTGAATTTTTTTATATATTATTTTTATAATATTTATGCATATTAAAATATTTAAATTTGTTAGAATAAATTTTTGTGCAGTTAAAATTTTTATAATTTTGTTATTTTTTTAAAATAAACTTTTAAAAAAATAAAAATAAACTTTACAAAATTAAATTAAAATGTAAGAAAAAGAAATTTTTTATCCAACAATGAGATTCAAAGGTACTCTGAGTAATGATACCTATGAAATCTTTAGGTGAGAAGATTTTTTTAAATACTACCAGTGTATTAGAGTATTTATAAAAATGTTTTCATATAATAAAATTTTCCTTTTTCTATTAATAAAAAAAAAC